TCCCCGCCTGCCCCGCTTCCGTGAAGCAGGTCGCCCCGGGGGGTTGGCTGGGTGAGCGCTTTGACTGGGCGTGAGGCCGCCCCTGGCTGGAGGATGGACCCTCAGGTGGACCCTCCGCTGGAGGCCGGGGGCTGCCTGGTAATGAAAGCGGAGCCGGACCCCGGGTGGGCGTCGGAGCCGGTTCAGGAAGGGCCGGCGGGCTCTGGATCCGAGACCTTTCGCCAGCGCTTCAGGCAGCTCTGCTATGAGGATGTGCGGGGGCCCCACGAGGCGTTCAGTCAACTCTGGGAACTTTGCTGCCGGTGGCTGAAGCCAGAAACGCGCTCCAAGGAGCAGATCCTGGAGCTGCTGGTCGTGGAGCAGTTTCTCACCATTTTACCCGAGAGGATTCAGGCGCGGGCGCAGAAGCAGTGCCCGGAGAGTGGCGAGGAGGCGGTGGCCCTGGTGATACACTTGGAGAAAGAGGCTGGGAGACTAAGGCAGCAGGTGAGAGCATTTTCCAGGTTTGGGTGTTTATAAAGAAGGGTGGGTAAGGCAGGCGTGTGTTGCAGGAGGTGCCCCTTATGGAGGATAGTGGTCCTAATGGAAGACCTTCCAAGTGAACCCACCTAAATGTCAAGTAGAACCAAAAGCGTTGGTGGAAATAGTATATTGCAAATGAACCTAAACAGTATTCATCTAAGTATTTGTTTCAAGCCTTTGGCATTCATGTCTCTCCAAAAAGTTCTATGGGAGAATTTATGCTTCACAGGGTTTGACTTTTGCAGCTTGATCCTAAAGAGGGCTGTTGGGGACTTCTGCAGTTACCCCAGGGCCCTGTAATCCTTCACCGCCCCAACCCATGTCTTCTCAAGTGACCTCAGCGCCATCATCCCCTCGGCCTTCTCCAGCCTCACTGCCAGGCCTTCATTTGCCACTGGCTTTACATGGTCCTCTGGCAGGTTTTTCAGCAGCCCTCCATTAACCTCATGAAATCCTGCACAATTTGCAAGATGTGCAGTTTCGCCTTGCACAGGATTTGCATTTGTGTAAAGATCTGACTACCAGCCTGCTTCCGTGTCTGTCAAGGATAGACACTAGATGTGGAGATCAAGCTTATGTTTTCATTTCACTAGTGAGTTTGTGTTCTCATAACACTTCTCTGTGAGGCTAGTAGATGTGAGGATTCACATGACCTCTATCCTAATAACGAGAAGGCTCTGTACTTCACGCCTGACAGATTTCCCCCTCTGTATATTAATAAAGAGCACTCTCCGTTCCCTTACGTCCAGACCTGTGGACAGTACTGTTAACCCAGTGCCCTTAGAGACTCCATTGGGGATGGACTACTGTTTTCATTCCTTCTCACATCTCTCCTTCTTTGCTATCTTTTTCTCCCTTTTTCCATTAAGGCTTTGGCTTTATTTCCCAGGTTTGCAGCCCTGTGCACTCAGAGAAGCAAGCCCCCCTTGCAGCAGTGTGGGATGTGGCAGATTTTCTGCCGGAGACCCAACCCAGAGTGATGTCCCGGGAAGAAGCTGGAAGCCTGCACTCAGGACACCAGGAGCAGCTGACCCCAAAGAGAGAGCATCGGCCTCTACCCAAGAATGGTAAGAACTCAGAAGATGCCCAGTGCAGACCGTGGCAGATTTATTTTGTAGCCCTAACACTGTGACTTGCTCAGAGTAGTGTCCCTTTAATACATGTTTGAGAATAAATTGAATTTTGAGGAGAAAGACTTTATTAGCTTCAAGAGTTGGGAATATGTGCAGCATAAGTAAAAGGGATCTTAAAGATTGAACCTAGGAACACTTAGATTGCCCAGGCTGGCCTTAAGGTCTTGTGTAGTGTTACTTAAGAATCTCTGTTCTGTAATCAGCTTGTGGTTTTTAGTCCTGCCATTTGTATATGTGGATGTGTTCTTGGCTGACCACAAACAACTTGTGGTCAGCCAAGAAGTTCCCTTGTCACGTGGATTAAATGCTCCCAGTTACTTTAGCTAAGCTTAGTCCAGTAAATTCATGGTGTTTCTGGATTTTGCTGTCCCAGAGTGATAAGAAATTTCTAAAGTGGAAAGTTTGTTCTATTGCGGTACTTACCAGGGGTGTGGAGGACAGAAAATGTGAGGGATCGATATCTCAGAAAGGTCAATTCATTCTAAAAGAAGACCTGTGATGTCAGCCATGTGTGCCTAAGGGAATAATAAGTTTCCAAGGCAGTGATTCAATTTGCTTCTGTAGAAGGTAGTGGAGCAAGCTTTTGAATTCTTGGTCACAGTAATATTTATTCTGGAAGTTTTACCTGGATAGTCAGTTCTAAGTAGAAGTTAGACCACAGACTTGCTGCATATAAGTTTGTATACCTTCATTCCGTCTTTTGAGGGATGTATTGCCTCTAGTGTCCAGGACCATGTAACTTCTTTAGCATACTGAAGGGGAGTCATGTACACTAGAGTTTGCAAACCGGTCACTCACGTGCCAAGTCAGACCCTTTGGTTTTTGGTTTGGGGGTTTTGTTTGTTTGTTTTTAGTTCTCAAGATTCAAGACTTTTGACATTTTACACAAAAGTCGAGATTTCTGGCTTCTTTTGAAAAACATTTGAAGCTTTGCTATACCAGGGCCATAGACTCACAAAGAAGCATCAGCTGGGGCTGAGCATTGCTGTACCTATTCAATGGGGCACATGCTCTCTTGTTCCCCACACACCTGGCCTGGCCCCTTTTGTGATGTGCTCTGTCTGCTTGTTCCCTACAAGCATTGGCATTTGTGAGTCCTGCTTTAGATTACTGTGGTTTCAGGCAAAGTTCTCAACTTGTGGAGAAAATAATCAGTTTGTATTTGTTGCTTTTTTTAACGTGCTCATTTCTTAAGAGAAGCAGCATGACTTAAAGTACCAGAGCACAGAATACTAATCATTTCTTTCTTCTACAGCTCGGCCTTCCTCCTGGGTTCCCATCCCTGCTGAAGAATGGAACACCATAGATCAGGAAGTAGCAACCACGAAACTTTCTGTCGGGTCTCAGGTAAGTTGTATTGTTTTCTCTGGCCCTCCTTTCTAGGGTGTTCAATCACAGTGATTTCCTGGGCCTTCACTGTCCTCAAATTTGTGTATTCCAACCAAGAGACCTTTTCCCCCTTGTTCCTTTTTCAGAAAAGATTGGACCTTTTTCCGAGTAATGGGACACTTTGATGGATCATCTGCCTTATGATTCTAGAATCTTCTGCTTCATTTGGCCCATAATATACACTTGGCTCATTGATTTTAGTTCTTCATTCAATGTTGTTCATCCTTCGAAGACCCACGCAGTTATCTTGATAGTCATTACTGTTAGTGTTGTTACAGGGACCAGTGAAAGATGTCCACATCGCAAGAGGTTTTTCCTACAAGAACAGTGTGCGTCAGATTCCTGCTCACAGAGACCTCTCCCGGGATATTAGGGAGGAGAGTGCTGGGAACATGGTCTCCCTGGGTAAGGACTCTTTCCCTTTTCAGATAAAAGATTTGGGGATTTGTAACATATTCATTCTACTGATGATAAAATAGTTGTAAATGTTAACCTTAAAGGACTTTCATGTCTAGCTTACAGTCTAGCTTACCAGACCTAGTAGTAATCACTTATCCATGTTCTATTGCTTTACTTATCCCTTTGTTCCATTTTAAAATTTATATATTTATAACTTAGTGATTATATATATATATAATCATATATATTTATAACTTAGTGATTAAAACATTGGAGAGGTGTTATACATGACTGTCATATTATTTAAATGTAAACGTACATCCACTAGACTAAAAACTCCATAAAGTCACAAGGTCTCTTTGGGATTTGTTTTTATTTAACTAGTAAACCCAACAGTTTTCACAGGGCCTGACACATGGGTGGGTGCCCAGCAAAATATTTGTTGGGTGGATATAAATCTTATAAATGGAAAAGAAATAATTTTAATAAAATAACCTCAATAGCATATTGTGAATTATTTAAATAGCACAAATTCTCAGGCCCACAGCACTGAAGCATCACTTTATAAGCAAACTCTGCTTTAGCAGTAGGGCTGGATGTGATTCATTCATGTGCAAGCTACAAGTCAAAGACTACTTATAATTAAAATTATAGGCCTAAACCATGCACTAATATACACTATAGATACTCTGTGCTAATAGGGTAGCCACTAGCACATGCAGCTATTTAAATTTATAAAACTAAAGTTAAAGTTAAAAATTCAGTTCCTCAGTGGCAGTGACCCCCTGTAAGGAATTCGGTAGCTGTACTGGACAGCACAGTTATATTTCCATCATCACAGAAAGTTCTATTGGACAATGCTACAGATAGAAACTAAAAGTATAGAGATTTTAAAATGGGACATGTCAAACAATGAATGAGATAAACCAACAGTTCTTTATATAGAAAGCAGTTTTTAAAAATTACCAACTTCAGACCAGCTGATGACACCCCCGTAACAAAGCACTCTTCCCAGAGCCACAGGCATCCCAGCCATCTACCCGGTTGTAGGCATGATGGGTGTTTCCTAGTGTTGTCTTGGATCATAGCATCCAGACCTAGTAAATGCTGAATTAGTCCTTAGTAAACCCTGCAGGAGTGGGATAGGGACCATACTTTAATACAGATTCAGCCCAGCATCTTCACATATAATTATAAATGCCCAGGCCCAAAGACCCCTGCCCCAATTTTTTATCATAGATCATAAACTGATGGCTCATTTTCTAGCCTATACACATATTTTGGCCTTGCACAGAGTTTAAATTTAGTTTTTAATTATGAATATCCAGTATCTCTTGAAAAACCAAATATAAGGCACTGGAGACCCACAGAATAAGGGAGCTCATGCTAAACTGCCACCTCATGCAGTTACGTTGCCAGCCTAGTCCTTCTTATAGATACTGAGCTTCCGTTGTCTCTATACTTACTTCTCTCACATAAAAATAGAGACAGCCCTCCATCTCCAGGGTTCTTTCAGGAGGGGTCTGATTAGATGCTGCTTCTCTAGGAGAATTTGTGAAGCCTCTTTGTGAGTTTCCTAGAGAAGAAAACTAAATTTTATTACAAACTTACTGGGCATTGGGCATGTTGCATATGGTCATTTACTTAGTATCCCCAGTACCTCTTTGAATAGGCGATACTACTTCCTAGGAAACTGAGGCTCAGAGAGATTAAGAAACTTCCATGATCAACAAAGGAAAGTCAGTGGTGGGGCTAGGATGCACGTTTAAGACAGGGTGCTCTCTGTAAGGTGGCATACTCTCTGTTGGCTTCCCTAGTCTTACGTCACTTTCCTAGTTAGATTGCCTGAGGTGTCCAGGAATCTTACTTCTCATCTCTCATAGCCCAGCGCGTATGTATGTGTGTTGGCGTGGGGAGATGTGGGGAGATGTGGGGAACGGATACAAGCACACTTTATAAGTACCAAATGCTGCTGAGGAGCATACTCTGCACCTAGCTCAGCGTTAAATACCATGAGGGAATCAAAGGTAATAAAATATGTTTCTTACCCTTAAAGGTTTTCCTTTAAGAACCAGCTGGGGAAATAAGTGGTACATACATGGGAAGTAAAATAGTGTAAGTTAGTAGATGATTGTGCTAGAGAACTCATGTAACAGTAACTATGGTGTGCACTGTCCTGGTGGAGGAGGACCCTAGAAGAGAGGTGACTGGACAAGACCTTTGAAGGACAGGTGTAAATAGTGGTCCAGGAGAGCATGGCCCACAGGAGGTGGGCATGCAGTGATGAATGAATGGCCTCTCCGTCTAGTATGAAGTGTGTTTCTCTCACTGTAGGAAGTGCAGTATCTACTAACAAGAGAGCCCAGGTGGAGCAAAGAAAGGAGCCGTGGACCATAGGTCTACATTCTTCTAATAAAAGGAATATTCTGCGAAGCAGCTACATCAAGGAAAAGTCAGTTCAGGCTCTTCAGATTCCTACAAGGAATACAGGGAAGATGCGGAAAGAGCAGCAACAGTCTTCTAAATGGGGCTTAGAAGATGAAAAGATAGCAGGCGTGCATTGGAGCTATGAGGAAACAAAGACTTTTCTCACAATTCTCAAAGAGTCTCGCTTTTATGAAACACTTCAGGCTTGCCCCCGAAATAGCCAGGTGTACGGCGCTGTAGCTGAATGGCTGCGAGAGTGTGGCTTTCTCCGAACCCCGGAGCAGTGTCGGACCAAGTTCAAGAGTCTCCAGAAGAGCTACCGAAAAGTGAGAAACGGCCACATGCTCGAGCCCTGTGCCTTCTTTGAGGACATGGACGTGTTATTGAACCCTTCAGCTCATGTGCCATCCACTGACAAGCCAAAGGAGACTGTGTCTCTCCCTAGACTAAAGAGGATTGGTGTCAGTGCTAAAGACCAGGTCAGTCTGATGGAGGAGGCAGAAGCCATAGGAGAATCTGATGGTGAGGAAACAGGCATCGAATTTGTCCGGAAGTCTGAGATTCGTGGTACCCCTGTCTTGTTTCAGAACCTGAGTGGTAAGAATTGTACTTTTTGTTTGGTTTGAAAATGGATGATGTGTCTTGTGGAAAAACGAGTAGTCCAGAAGTGAGCAGGCCTGGGGAGTGCTGTCATGCACACCTTGCCTCCAATCTCTATGCCTGGCCACCTAACAGTTTTCTCAGGCGTATGTTGCTGCCCTGTGCAGTCTGAGTACAGCCCTGAGTGGCCATGGAGGGTTCTTTTTGAGGTTAGAGCACAGCATGGCTTTTGAGTACTTGGGGCCTGTGGAAGGAAGAGAAATGGAATCAGAGGTCTCTATGGATCTAACATTATCTGCGACTTGGAATAAAGCAGATAAGTGTGTTAGATTATAGTAAGTCAAAGATACATTATTATACTACCTAGAATAACCAGTGAAAGAGTATGTAACTAAAAGAAATGAGTAAAAAATGAAATTCTAAAAGAAGAAAGGAGAGAAAAGGTAGCTGTAAACCCAAATATACCTTTAATTACAAACATAAAAGACTGTCGCACATTTAAAAAACGACTATATATTGTTTACAATAGATACATCTTAAGTACAGTAACACAGAGACATTGAAATTAAAAGGACAGAAGAAGATATACCATACACCATAGAAAAGAAAGCTGGTGTAATGTGGGGGCTGAGACACGTAGGACTAAACTGCCAGTTAATAACTGTGAGAGTAGACACATCATGTAAATACTTTGAGCTTCAGTTCTCTCATCTGTCAAGAATGACTGAGAATGCCAGGATTGTTGTTAGTTAAGTGAGATGACGTACATGAAGGCATTCTGCAAATGTTCACATGCAGTAAAATACTGCCTGGTATCACTGTTACTAGTAATGTTTCTCTACTCCATCTTATAAAATGGTAAGCCCTTAGAAGGGAAAACTAAATCAGGCAGGAGGGCTGGGACTGTATGCATGACTATACCTGTTCAAAAGAAAAAGCTCTCAGGAAGAAGATGGGAGGATGCATGCTCAGGTATTCACTAGTCTGGAAATCCATAGACAGGAGGGTGGGGATCTTGGAGCGGTCTCAAACTGGGAATCCAGTGAAGGCTGGAGGAGACTACCCAGTAACATTAGGATAGAAATGACTTTTTCCTACTTACAAAACACAAAATGCATAGTGTGACACACTATATTCCAGCATGTCCTAGAAAATTTTATTGACTGCTACAAAAGCAGGATATCTGCTTGTCTTGCAGAATATTTCATCTCAAAATAGAAGACTCAGTGACATCAGAAATTACTGGACATAGTTCTCATCAAGGAAGACAGGTTAAAAAATGATGGGAACTCTGGGAGAAAGTCCCTACTGGGTGTCACAGTCCATTATTCTGAGCTTGAAGAGACAGCTGAATCCTTAGTAATCAGTATCAGATTGGGAGACTGCATTTTCACTCTATCAAGTAAACAGATTAGTTGATCGATATCAGTTAAAAATCCTGTTGGAATTTTTACTTTATAGATGCATCTGAGAGTCAATATCTGTGCAACTTGAGCCTTCCCAACCAGAAATAGTATTTTTTTCATTTTTTCTAGTTTTTTATGGCTTAAAATATTACAGATTTTTTATATAGACCTAATTTTATATAGACCTCATAGCTTACCCCAGGCATATCATAGTTCCTGTTGCTCCTGTGAATGGGATTTGTTTTCTTTTACTTCTGTTTTGTAATATCGTATAGAGGCTACAGACTCCTTTTCTTATATCTTTGAACTTTATCCTTGAATGGCAGGTGTACACTGGGGCTACGAGGAGACTAAGACTTTTCTTAATATCCTCCATGAGACTCGGTTTTATGAAGCACTTCAGTCCTGCCATAGAAAGAGCAAATTGTATGGGGCTGTGGCTGAACAACTGCGGGAGTGTGGGTTCCTCCGGACACCAGAACAGTGTAGGACCAAGTTCAAAAGCCTTCAGAAGAGCTACCGTAAAGTGAAAAATGGGCATGTGCTAGAGTCCTGTGCTTTCTACAAGGAAATGGATGCGCTGATAAACTCTCGGGCACCTGTCCCCTCCACCAGCATCCCAGAAGGAGTCCCACCACCCTCAAGGCAAGAAAGAGAGGATATTGAGATTGAACCCCAGGAATCTACAGGCTGGGAACCTGAGGAGACCTCACAAGAGACAATAGTAGAAGATTCTGACAGCGAGAGAATGAGTGATGAGGAAATTGTGCAAGAGTCAGAATTCCAGGGACCTTCAGGTCTACTGCAAAGCCCAAGTGGTAAGGATCATCAAGGGGTTGTGGTCTAAAAGAGAGTAAGTATGACTTACTGAAAAATTAGTAGATCTGGCATGTCATTCAGGAGTATTTATTCATTAAACAAATATTTCCTGTGCTGTTTGAGGAATGGGGGATATAGCGGTGAGTAAAAAGAAGTCTCTGCTTGTAGTGCTTCTTTTCAAGGAAGGAACTTACATTCTAGTGATTCGGTTTTGGGGATTTTGGCCTCAGTTTTTTCTGTATGGGTCAAGCAGTATTTGTGTGTCCTGAAAATACTATGGGGGAAAAAATTTGGAATTACACATGAGAAAATACTCAGATGAAGGAAGTGTGTCAGGAAACCCAAGACAGAAACATTTCAGTGTTGTGTGATGTGCATGAGGACAGGCAGAGACCAAATGAGAGAGGCTTTATCCTGCTTCTCAGCTCCACCTGCTTATTTCCCACTGACTGCTGGAAACCCTCATGAGCATCTCATCAGACTTAAAATTTTCAAAAGTAAAATCACCATCTTCCTTCCCACACCATAGCTCTTCCCTGTGTCCTCGTACATGTCATCCAGACTTAAAACTTCAGAGATATTTTTGATGCTTTCTCTCCCATTATTTACATTCAGGCAGTAACACTTTTTTTCAGCTGACGTAGAACCCTTATCTTCCCCGCTTTAGTTCCTGTAGCCCATACCCTAGTTCAGTCTTTGTGTCTGTTGCCTAGACTGCTGTAAAGGTCTCGAAGCCAGTTTTCTGTATCAGCTTTGTATTAACATTCCACAGCTATCCTTAATCTGAGCTCTTAACCTTTCTGTCCTTACCAGTTATTATTTCCCTTCCAAAACTGTGCTCATTCAAAATAAACATTAGAGAGGGAGGAAATTCATACTCATGCTCTCTGGTAGTATTATGTTGGAAATTGTACTATGGTGGCTGAAATTGTTAAGTCCTACATAACCCTGGTTTTGATAACTGTGGAAACAAAGTTCTGTGGTACCATCTCTTGTGACCCTTTCTTTTAAGTTAAACTCCTTATTGATAATTTGTCATCAAATTATCAGGCTCTGTCTGAACGAACTACCAGGCTGTGACTTCCTCCAGATCCCAGAGCAGCATTAGACCCAATCAGAATGCTTCAAAAGAACTGCTAAATGAACAATGGCATTGTCAGGGCTTTTTACTTAAGTTCATGGAATGATTGATGGCTGCCTCTGCCCCATAGCCCATGCCACAGCTTTCCCACTTGGGATGGAGGGATATTAGCAGTTTCAACTCAATATGTGGAAGGAAAGTAACGTAGAAACAAGGCAGTATAGCAAAATGCTTATGAACAAGGGTTTGATAACCAAGCCTGGATTGGGCCTAAGTTATACAGCTTGTGAAATATTTATGAATGAAATAATACAATATCTGGAATTTGCTTCAAAATAATCTGGATAGAGGGCATAGGGAGTATGTAGGAATAGAGATGAAACAAGATTGGCAATGAGAGATCATTGTTAAAGCTGGTGAGTGTTTCATGGAAGTTCAGTGTAATACGATTCTCTACCTTTCTATACGTTTGAATTTTTCATAGTAAAAAGTTAATACAAAACCACATAATTAAGTGACCAGGATGGAGTCAGAACTAGAGCTGTCTGATTCCAAAGCCTGTGTCTCTTCATTATTTTATGTTCTCTATCCAGGGAACTTCTTGGAAAAGCTGTGATCCAGGATGTACCTTGTAGTGAATATGGGCTATAGATGAAAAAGTGAGAACGTTCTAGTTTGGGGAACAGCGAGAACTAAGATTGAATTAGTGTAGTCTGTGTGTGAGACAGCCAGAAAAACAAAGTGATGGGAACATTCAAGGAGAAGAAAGAAGTACTCTTGTGTAGGATATAATTAGATATTGATGAATCTAAAAGTCCATTGAGAAAGTTGGACTTGATCACTAGCATCTACTCTATACACTAATGTAGTATATTTTAGGATAGAAATGAAATTTTGAAAGATGGTTGAGTTAGAGGAGAACTTCGGGGAGATAAGCCTTGTTAATCAGGATATGGATGAGGAACTATGCAACTCAGATGGCATTTCATTTCCAAAGGCCTCCTTTGAACTAGGTGTAATTGGCTGCTTTTGGAACTGAATGAAAATAAGGCATAATGAATAAGGGAAGAGTAACAGGACCTGAGGCCAGTGAAGTGTACGGGGATTCTAACAGATAAAGCATGGAAGGCTATGTCTGTGTTAATACAGGACTGCTCTGAAATTTTTATTGTCTCTTTTTCAGATTTCAAAATTGGAGGTAGTATCAAGGAGAATGCAACACAGGTAATATATAAGGACATGGAGCAGCACAGGGCATTAATAGAGAAGTCTAAAAGAGTTGTTTCCCAGAATACTGATCCAGGTAAATATCATAAAAAGGAATGCATCTCAGGAAGACAATGGGAAAACTGTCAAGGAATTAGACAGGGAAAGCTGATGTCTCAGCCTAGAGATTTAGGGAAAGCTGTAGTGCATCAGAGGCCTTTCATGGGGAAGAGACCCTATAGACTTCTCAAGTACGGAGAAAGCTTTGGAAGGAGTGCCCGTCTTCTGAGCCGGATGACCCACCAAAAGGAAAATTCTTATAAGTGTAGTGTCTGTGGGAAGTGCTTTGGTAGAAGCAGGAGCCTCATCAGACACCAAAGAATCCACACAGGAGAAAAACCTTTTAAATGTCTCGACTGTGGGAAAAGCTTTAATGACTCCTCAAACTTTGGTGCCCACCAGAGAATCCACACAGGGGAGAAGCCCTACAGCTGTGGTGAGTGTGGGAAGTGCTTTAGTCAGAGCTCGAGTCTCATCATACATCAGCGAACCCACACAGGCGAGAAACCCTATCAGTGTGGAGAGTGTGGGAAAAGCTTCACCAACAGTTCTCATTTCAGTGCCCACCGCAGGGTCCACACTGGTGAGAATCCCTACAAATGCATGGATTGTGAGAAGAGTTTCAGTAATGGTACACGATTTCGAGAACATCGGAGAATGCACACTGGAGAGAAGCCCTATGGGTGTGCCCACTGTGGCAAACATTTCAGTAAGAGTTCTTTTCTGACCAAACATCGGGAGGTCCATGTGAGAGAAAAGCTCCTGCCGCATCATCCATCCGTGTATTCCCCAGAGAACCCACATAAGGGGAGAACTGAGGACTTCAGGAAGACTTTTTGATGACGATCTCTGTCTCAATGTCCCTTTAGCTGTCCTACCCTGATCTCACTCTTGGGAGATTGTCTTAGCTATACAGTGTAATTCCGAAGATAAGCTTGAGAATACAAATAAACTAAAGACTTGGATCCTCTTCTCACCTCTGCCCCTAACTCGACAGCCCATCCCTCTCCTTCCCTTTGTCTCAGCTTCTCCTTTAATAAAGGGAGACATAATCTGAGTTCTGAAGGGAGCTCTTGTATGTCAAGACTACTGCTCTGGGATTGCTGTGTCCAGCAACATTCGAGATCCTTCCATGTAGGTGAGAGTTGTTTTCAAGGACATGAAAATCGCTGAAAGATTTTTTTCGTTATCTACCACATGAGATCCTGGATGCAGCTTGCCCACAGAGTTTCATGTTTGGATAGAACTTTCAGGAGTCCTATAGCAAATCTGTTTTGGTATTGAAGATAGTCACAAAGGAGGCTGAAGATGTTATAACTTCCATCAGAAGTCTGTTACAGTGTACCTTTTTTGTGTCAAGAAGTTGATCTGAATAGCTAGGGTAGAATCCCTGTGTTGCCCCTGAAGTCATGTTAGCAATGTCTTGCCTTCCATAGAGATGAGAAGCAACTAATCGCCCATAATCCTCTGTGTACCAACCTTTTCTGTCCCTGAAGACTGAGTCCCCCTGGTTGCTGCTTTCCGGCCTATAAGAATCCAGTTCCTGTTATCGTTTCCCATACATCCTACACTTACCTCTTCATGTTCCGGGTGCTCTTGTCCAGCTCTTCTGAGCTATCACATCCGCTTTGGATTGACTAGGCTGCATGCTCATGGTGTCTCATTGAAGTAAAGTAGGGTTTCAGACACAATCTAGTTCTCCCCTGTAACCTCTCCAGTTCTTACCTAGAGCATAATGTGTGTCAGCGTATTTATGCCTCCCAACCCCACACTTTAGTGTAATATTATGTAATCATAGTTTTATAAAATGTTAAGGGGGTAGAAAGAAGTAATATTTCTAAAACCAGTCAGACTCCTCAGGCCTGCTTTAGATCAGATAGCCACTTCCATCCAGACCAGTACCTCCAGGGCTGTTTGTCAAATACTCTCTTTCCTGAGGCTTCTGGACTCTATTTATAGGGTCATGACCCTCACTGTAGAACCCTGAGTAATTTATACAATTCTATAGATCATTGAGTAAAAGCAGAAATATTTGCAGAAACTACCAATCCAGAACATGTTAGTGTTTTATTCATTTACCTGTTTTTCTGAAAAATCTTTTTGATAATCCCCTAGCACTAGCCTAATAAATAGTGAATGAAAGGTTCAGATAGATGGGCAGTTCATTCATTTCTGGAAGTTAGATGAAACCCAGGAATTTGGTGATCCAAGGCTGCTTGCTTTGGGAGGGAGAAGTCATAGTTTGGTGGAAAGATAACCAGAGTCAGGGCTGTGGATAGACTCTTCTAATCTGATCTCTCCTTTGCCATATGCTCTCTTATTTGAACACATCTGGAGATAACATTTTTCCTTTGTGTTTGAACCTGTTGAAACTTGTTCAGCAGAGTACCAAGAAGGGTAGGCAGTTCCGGTGCCTGCATAGGGTGCAACCTGCTGGAAGGCAGGTGACTCAGGTAAACATTGATAAATGTTCATTTATATTTTGGAAATGTTATGCTTGTTCACATCTGAATAGATTCATTTCCTCTGTTTGATTTTTTTTCTCTTTTATTAATCATTTTTATTTTTCAATTCTAGTTGACATACATTATATTGGTTCCAGGTGTATGTGTTGTCTGAATCATAGACTTTTAATGGTAAGTGCAGCTTCATGTTGGTAGAGTGCCTAGCGCAGTAAGATGTGTTAGTGCCAGTGGGCGTGTGCTTGTATCATGTAGACATTCTGGAATCCCAGTTCTAGAGAAGGTGCACGTTAATAGAAGTCACCACTTAGTAATACATACACAGGATTGATAATTATATCAACTGACATATGATTCAGGAAAGGTGATTTATTCATAAATATTTGTTAAGCACCATTTTGTGTTAACACCAGGTTCTAGGCACAGTGAAGGATATGAAAACGAAAACAGAGGCATGATGCCTGTACTCAGTGAACTTGAAATATGGTAGAGGAAGTATTGCAGCAAAAGGTAATGCCAGTTACAGGCAAGTTATAAAGGTCAGTGACTCAGTCATGAGAAAACCACCTTCACTTGCAAAGGAGTTTTCCTAACTTAATAAAACCATGTTCTTTACCCATCTCAGACTTCCCTAGTGGCAGAGAGGCTCATACCCAGCCCGTCTCCAGTGGGACAGACTGATTCTGCTTTAGTCTCAGATCTGGGATCAAGCTCAGGTGGAGTTTGGGTTCCCCCACTGATACTCCTGATTGCAGGTGGGCTGCTGAGACATAAATTAATGGTGTTTGTCTCTTTCCTGAGGAGAGGGAAGGTCCTGCCCACCATTCAGCAAGACTCCTTGTGTTTTATCCTTTCTCAGCTGGAGCATGAAAGTCTGCGTGAGTGAGGTTTTTTCTGTCACATAGCACTGCCTTTATGACAATCCGGAGAAGGCTTGTTTTAGAGTTCAGTGCCAGGAAAGCAGCTCTAATCCTAAGCACAAAAAAAAAGTTATCTTTAAAAAACACTGTGATTTTTATAACTTCCTGTTTTTTCCCTTTTTGTTCTTGCTGCTGGAAAGCTCAACAAAATTTACAACCCACCATAACCAACTACCTAAAACCTATATTTATTTAATCCTGTCTTCTTTCTTTGAAAATTGTCTCAAATGCTATGTTTTTAAGTGGTATAAATAAACAGACTTTATTTTCTGACACCATACCCAAGGCACTTGGGAAACTGGCTTGTGTTCCCTGGCTGGGCTTGTTACTCACAGATACCTCCAGTTCTTACTGTTGACTTTATTACACATACAACCTCATTTATTCACCTGGAAGGAAACCTCATTCTTCAAGAGGAAAACCTCACACATATATTTACACAGCTCAGGCCGTCTGCCTTGGTGGAGTGAGCACTGGACCAGAAGCGAAAAGAGACACGTTTTAGTCTTGTTACGGCCACTTACTGTCGTTGGACAGATCATAGCCTCTCTCTGGGCCTCGGCTCCTTATCTGAAGAGGCTGAAGATTGCCAAGACTGCTCCGGCTCTGATGTTCTGTGAGGCTGTGGGGCACGTGTGGGTGGGGAAGCGTTTGTAAGACCGGGCTCCCTGGGCTGGCTCTCAGCTGCACACAGTCCCTGCCACACTGAGCCACTTCCCACTGCAGGCAGAGGGGTGCTGTGCACCGTCCAGGAGCCTGCTCAGTAGAGAAAGAGGTCATGAGTGTTCCCCTGCAGGCACCCCTGAGTCACCTTGATAGCCATTTGCAGGTAGCTAGCTGAGTAAAGAAAGCCTGTCTTGTGAGGTCTGGGGCCCAGTGACAGACAAGACTCAACGGTGAGGGAGCTGGGGCAGTCGCAGTGCCAGTAGTGTCCGATGACTGGTGTAGCTACAAGCCTTCGCCTCGGTCTGAATTTATTCAAGTACAAGTGTCTTTATGTTCATAGTTTTTATATTGATGTTCACTTAGATGTCTTCTTGAAAACCTGTATGTGAAATAAATGTCTGCAGTAAATGACTCCCATTGGCTTTGCAGTAATTTGAAGGATGCTTTCTGTTAAGGGGAAAGAGAACTTGCAACAAAAAAGCTGACCCTCCTAAGTAAAGAGAATGTTCTGGCTCACTGCTCTCCTCCACAACTATTCCTGTGCAGCTGGCCTCTGATACTGGCCATTGCCATTGTCCCAAATGGTGGTTGGCTCTAATTCCAGGGTTAGCCTTGGGTTCACACTCTGCGTGTATCTGAGGAGCCACTCACCCATGGCAGCCTTTTAAGGCGGAACAAGACTCCACAATTTCCCCAAAGATGCAGTGTTGCTTTTGATTTACTGTTTTGGTATAAAGAGTTCCAGTGGCCTGGCCAGTGTGGCTCAGCGGTTGAGTGTCAACCTATGAACCAGGAGGTCACGGTTCGATTCCCAGTCACAGCACATGCCTAGGTTACAGGCTCGATCCCCAGTAGGGGGCGTGCAGGAGGCAGCCAATCAATGACTCTCATCATTGATGTTTCTCTCCCTTTCTCTGAAATCAATAAAAAAAATTTTTTAAGTTCCAGTCACTTCCACTTAGTCTTCTTTCCCAGCACAATTCCAACTCCATGGGTGAGTCAATGTGGAGATCTTGCTCCTTGCTGAGCATGTAACTCTCACTTTTCTCATGGCCCAGAGGGTGGGTCACCTAAACATGAACCAGACTCCGGACAAAGGGCCTCCCTCTTGCCTGAACGCTGTAAGCCTCCGCCCTGTTGCCGGCTGCAGTGCTCCCCAAGGTCCTCAAGGGTTATAACTGCTCAGTCAGCACCTAAGAGCCCCTGTAAGTTCCCATGTTTCCCTTGAGTAGACATATGCGACCTTTTTGGAGGAAGCTGATAAAGGCTCATCCATGGTGTCCTGAGTTCGCAAGGTGACTGACCTCCCAGGCTGTGGACTGACTCAGGCTGGGAATTAGATGAGAGACTTTAAACCTCCAAGGGCCACAGATCAATTCCTATAAATCAGTTAAAACATTAAGGGAGGGGAACGAGTGCTTTGTGTCTCAGGCACTGAAAGGAACAAGGCTAGTTCCAAGCTCCACACTCCAAGGGCAGCCACCGCCTAAACCCGCCCTGCGGTGGTAGGACTCAAGGAGGGCAGTGTGCCGCCCAGGGGTTGCTTGGATGCCGCACAGAGCCTGCGGAGCACGCGGCTGGGCTGGGCGGGGAAGCTGCGGGACTGTCGGTAAAGGACCCTCTTTCCACAAAGCCCCCTGGCCCGGCCAGGTGTGACTTAGCACACATCTGAGGACCACTCCCAATGGAGAGTGGAGATCGGACACGAAGTAAAAAGTCCCATGAGAGTAGAGGATGGCACACTTCCCTCCTGGGGTCGCCTGCACTCTGAGTCCCTGGGAGGTGGGGTGAGCGAGAGGCGCAAGAGCCCTGAACCAGCTTCCCAACGACGTGCCGTGGGGCTCATGCTAATGCTGCCAGGAGGGAAGGGTCAGTACTTGTACCCAAGGGTCTAGGACGGGACATGCCTGGTGCAGTAGAAAGAACCCTAGACTGTCTAAAACGCTGGCCGAGCTCTGTCACTAGGTCACTGTGTGGCCACAGATCATCCAGCCTCTCGGTGTGGGGGTTGGGCAGCTGAGTGCTTCCCAGCCTTTCCCCGCCCAGGGGCCCAGAGAGCCCGATGTGGGTAGTTCACTGAGCAAATGCACCTGTACCAAGTCCATGCAGAAACTCCACCTCTTGCTGGGATCCTGATACCTGCGAGGTGCAAAGCCGCTGATTAGATGATAATAAATGTAAGAGCTGACACGTCCACTCGCAGTGTACTAGGCACTGTGCTCACGCTTCACAAGCATCACATTTAGGTCTCACGAGCATTCTGAGGCAACAGTTCCGTTTTACAGACAGGGAGACTGAGGCTGAGAGAAGTTACATAGTTCTTCAAGCTCATACAGCAAGAAAGTGAATGTTCTGAGCATTAAATTCATATCTTCCCCAGAACCCAAGCCCGTGGCATATACGTCTTATGGCTACCGTGGAGTGCCCGCTTCTAGCATCTTAAAATTCTGTGACCTCGTTCTTGAAAAGATGTCTGTGGGGTGGAGGTGAACTTGGGAGGCATGGGTCCGTTTGGGGTTCCACTCTGCGGGGCAGAATGATGCGGGGTCCCCGGCTCAGCCTGTGCGTTCATCGGTGATACTGAGCCCCTCCTGCGCTGCAAGCACTAACCAGCGCTGAGCCTGAGGGCGAACGGCGCCGGTCTTCCTCTTGAGAGCTCGTGGTCTGGGACCTGGCACGAGGACCAGGACTGCGAACCCAACCCAAGTCAGGAGCGAGAGGAGCTGTGACATGTGTCTTTCCGTCCCTCTCTCAGTGGGGCCGAACAAGCACGTGGGAGACAAGGCAGGGGCCCCGTTTTCTCTTCTTCAGAAAGAGTCAAGTGTGATGACAAAACCCTGGACCCTGCGTCAAGCTCACCTGGTCTTAAATTTGGGCTCCATCAACTTGTGCAACTTTGGGTAATGTCACCTCTTGGCACCTCCACTTCTCCTTGGAAGAGGAGTGCCTGCCTGTATTAGTCTCCTGGGGCCGCCCTAACAAATCACCACAAGCTTGGTTTTTAAAAAAAGCAGAAATGTCTTCTCTCACGGCCCTGGAGGCCGGCAGTCTGAAACCGGGTGTTGGCAGGGCCACGCTCCCTCCAAGGCTCAGGGAGAGTCTTTCCTTCCCTCTTGTGGCTCTTGGTGACTCCCAGTAATAGCATGTGGCTCCCACCCTTCCTCCACATGCCTCCTTCTCGGTGTCTCTGTCCTTTGCTGCCTCTTATAAGGACACTCATTGGATTTAGGGCCCACCCTAATCCAATAGGATCTCACCTTAATTGACCCTCCCTTAATTATGTCCACAAAGACCTTATTTCCAAACAAAGTCACATTCTTAGGTTCCAAGTGGACCTGAACTTGGGGGACACTACCCAGCCCAGTGCCCTGCCTTACAGGACTGCTGTGGAGTAAATGAGAGAATGCCTGGAAGCGCTCTGCACAGTGCTGGGCACAGCAGCAAGTGTTCGCTCTGCACAGGCATGCATGTGTGTGTATGTGTGTTCATGTATGTATGTGCATGCTGTGTAGCTATTTTGTTACTAGTTTTACCAAAGGTTTATTTTATTATTTATTTCACCAAAAGAAATGGTAACTTTCAATATTTTTTCCCCTTTGTGAGTGTTCTAATTTGCTTATTTCTGATTTTATCATATTATTTTCCCTCTTTTTCTTTAGGTTTGTGGTTGTTGTAATTTATCTTTCTGTTTTTCTCCAAAAATGTGCTGAATGTTTGGGGATATAGTGTCCATTTTCTCAACAGGCAGTCACCAATATTTGGTGATTTCATTCCAGTGAACTTTTTTTTTTTTACTCAGGTGAGTACTTTGACCGTCTTGTGGAACTGAGTGAGCTTTTTGTTTGTTGTTGAAAATTGTTTTTCCCTGGAACTTCTTTATGTGGCCATGATGGTCATCGGCCAGAAATGACCCATAGATTCCCACAGAGAAGATGCAGCCTCTACTGACAGGGGGGGAGTTCAGAATGTGCCTTTTTGTCCCTTTTTACCCTTTCTCGGCATTATCTCACATTTTCCATCCAAATGCCACTGTCCCTCCAGACCTCTATTATGCCACCTTATCTATTTGCTCAGGAAATCCTTGCAGATCTGGCCCGGCCCACACCCCACTCATCCCCAGCTGGACTGCAGTGAGTGGGCCAGTCCTGGGCACTTTCAGCAGGGTCCCGAGGTCAGTGATCAGGGTGCCGAGGGCTGTGATCAGGGTCCCAAGGTCTGTGACCAGGGTCCCAAAGTCAGTGATCAGGGTCCCAAGGTCAGTGATCAGGGTGCCGAGGTTTGTGATCAGGATCCCAAGGTCAGTGATGAGGGTCCCGAGGTCAGTGATCAGGGTGCCGAGGTCTGTGATCAGGGTCCCAAGGTCTGTGACCAGGGTCCCGAAGTCAGTGATCAGGGTCCCGAGGTCAGTCATCAGGGTGCCGAGGTTTGTGATCAGGGTCCCAAGGTCAGTGATGAGGGTCCCAAGGTCTATGATCAGGATACCGAGGTCGGTGATCAGGGTCCTGAGGTCTGTGATCAGGGTTCTGATGTCTGTGATCTGGATTGATTCTCACTAGCATCCAAACTGGATTCTACATTGGACTCTGAGCTCCAGACAGAGCTCCCTTGGGTCAGGCTAAGTGGGAGACAGCTCAGGTGGCCTGCACCCCGGTACCCATGTTGGCCTGGATTCTAAGCTGGGCTCAAGCCTTAACTAGACTCTGGACAAACAAGGCCCAAGCGGACTTTGGCTTCCTCCCCAGCAGTGCCCGTTCCTGAAATGAAAGGCAAGTCAATGGGCTCGTGGAAGGAAATATGGGACTATTTATTGCAAAGCCAGGTTGGCAGCCCAGGAAGCAAGGACCTAGACCACAGAAGGCCCTTCTGTAAGAGGAGTCAGGGAAGGAGAGAGGGAGGAGGAGGGTGGGGAAGGGAACTGACACAGACAGACAGCCACCTCTTCCAAGTGCTCTCTCCCGGGACCGTCCCTCTCAAGGAAAGCATTTCTGACCTGCTGTTCCCACCTTCCTCAGGGCAGTGCTGCCACATGCCCCCAGGCTGCGGACTCTGCTGAGCACAAGGGAATCCTCAGGACTAAGAGCACCCTCAGGGCTTGGCAGCAGTCTGTCCGCCCGGGAAGCCAGGCCCGCAGGGGAAGAAGCCCCGCGCCTCTGGGCCTGTGCAGCGCCAGGCAGCGGGAAGTCCGCCTTCTCGGCTTCAGCGGCCCCTCAGGCTGAGGCGAGTTTTCCCATCTCCAATGAAGAACCTGCAATAAGGATGGCCCAGTGAGGTCTCTGGGGAGAGTCACCCAGCCCCTCGTCAACATCTCCAGGCCCAGAGTCCTGCAGAGATGCCTTCCTGAGCCTCCCAGCCTCAATTGCTACCCCCCTTGAGGGGAAGGAGAGAGTCTCTGTTTGGTTCCCAGCCCTTTTCCTGAAGATGCTCGCCTCTGCCTCCTGAAAGCAGTGGACAGAATAATCAGGGATGCTTTGCACTAACCGTGGTTAAGGCAGGACTGCAGAGAGGGTGATGCAAGGCGTCTGGTCAGCCCTGCCCAGCGCCCGACCCTCCCAGACAGCAGGGGGGAGCCCCACATGTGCCAATCCAGACCCTAATCCCCACACAACCTGGGGCAGCAAGAAGAGGTCCCTACGGTCCCAGAGGCTCCCAAGAAGGGAGAGGTTTCCCTCTGATAGCACCCACCTTATTGCCCATTGCACAGCTCCATGGAGCACTGTCCACACTGTACGTTACGGGAATGACTTCCCTGATGGGCATGCTCTGGGGGCACCATTTATGTGGTTTTATGTGAGTAGGTCCCCCTGGAGTTGGGCAACCCTGTGCAGGGAACGACTCTCCTCCAGCTCTCAGACCTCACCCCAAGCCCAGGATTAGGCTCCTGCTCCAGACACAGCCAGTAGGAGTGCCTGACCCCATGGTTACAGTGAGTGATTCGGAGGCAGGTCGGGCCCAGGTCAGGCCAGTCCACACCCATGAACATCAGACCCAAGACCAGCCGCAGCTGTTGTTCGTGTTCTCTGCACCTGCTGAGCATCTCTGCCTCTATGGAAGCCTCTCTAAGCGAGAGAAACACTGAGCCCTGAAACACTGGGCGCCTGCCTGAACCAGTACTACCCCTGAACTTTTCAATTAGGTAGCCACTGAACTCTCCTTTATGACACAGGCTGTGTCGAGATGGATTTCTGTAATTATGTAGCCAATGAGCTCTCCTTTATGGCACAGGCGGTCTTGAGATGGGTTTCTGTCACTTGCAATCAAAGGTCCCAGAGTCATAATATTTCCCTCTGAAGAAGGCTTCCTCTTCTTTTCTACAAACTCAAGTGAGATCTTAGTCCTCTCGCCCTGGACACTGTGGGGCTACCACCAGGTGCCCAGCAGCTGGGCAGTGCGCCTGTGCCACACTCCTACCTGACGAGCACTCCGACAAGCAGGCTGGCCAGCAGCGGGCCCAGCCAGTAGATCCAGTGGAAGGCCCAGTGGTTGGCCACCACAGCTGGTCCGAAGGCACGGGCAGGATTCATGCAGGCTCCCGACACAGCGCCCCTGCAAACATGCAGCCACACCAGTCACCGGGATCCCAGCCAGGCCCCAGCTCACCTCAAGTTCCTTTCCCAACTAGGTTTATGTCACACATCTCCCCAAAACCATCTCCATCCTGGGGTCCCAGAGGGTTCCAACAAAGACACAGCTAAAGAGGCTTTTAGCTGGGAATTGAAAGGCTCCTCCTCCCTGGCATGCAGTCTGCCACCACCCACGCCCCACTAGGAGAAGGTCCACCAGGAGTCCCTTTTCAGTGTCGGCAGGACGTCGGCAGGAAGGGAAAGAAGGGGAGCCGGGTGCTCTCCAAAGTGGATAAGGCCACGTCAAGCAGTTGTCAATCATGTGAAGTCTGGAGTCAAGCAGACCTAGATCCAAAACCCAGCCCAGCTATTTCTAGCTGGGTGACCACTGTCTAACCTCTCTCTGCTTCAGTTGAGGTGAAAGGGCCTATCTCATGGGTTGTCAGGAGCCAATGAGAAAACACATGTACAGCCCATGTCTCACATATAATTCATGCACAGGTGTTTGGTCTAGTTGACCCAGCATCTCCTACAAGGGGACTGTGGCCCAGGAGCACCTCTCTAGTTCTGGTGTTTAAATCTTTGTCCCACTCAAGCTGGGGTCCTGCAGACCTCACCTCCTGTCCCGTGGCCATGAATCAATAGGCCTGTAAGTGAACCAGGGGCCACTAGGGGGCAGCAAAGCAACAGCCTCGCACACAAGTTCACCAGCTCCTGCCCTGGCCCCTCCCAAGGGTGACCCGAGGTTGGAGCCCGGGAAACTGTGTCCAGGAGAAAGGAAAGAACTGGGCGCTAGGGAGGGGCTCCCTCATCCTCTTTAGCAGGAGATTTGGGCTCTTGTCCCAGATCTGCCACTTAATTTGCTGCTGCCCAGTGACCCTCAGTAAGTCACTTGTGTCCTGTCTGAGCCTCAGTTTGCTCTTACATAACATGAGAGAAATAGCATCTCATCCGACCTTGTCTCCTGAATCCCTTCCCAAGCCTACCAAGGGGCTCAACACAAATGAGCCGATGGCACGTGAGTCAGGCTAAAACCTGGCTGCCCACTGGCTGGACAAACAACCTACAGAAATGTTTTGCTGAAACTACAAATAATTTCCCATAAAGTCCAGTTTTCTGACTTCCTTGGAATGAAATTAGAAGAAGGTTCCTTCAGGGCCTCACTCCCACAAAACAGTAATTTCCCACATGTGGTACCTCCAAAGATACCACAGTCCCCACCACTCCCTGTTGTCTGCCTAATGCCAGGCCACGTCCCCCATTTGCATTACCTTCCTGGCCCCTATTGGCAAATGAGTCTGTGCCTCCGGTAAGCTTTGCAGGCCCGACCTCCAGAGCTGAGCCTCAGCCCAGGGCCAGGCACTGTAGGCCCCCAGCCCAGGCGCACTCACCCCGCCAGGATGTCTACGGTGACGGAGAAGCCAATGGAGAAAGGGGCCAGAGGGCCCTGCGTCTTCTCGTTGACGGCGCCCATGCAGACGGCCAGTGCCAGCAGCGTGGTCAGGATGACCTCTGCCAGCACTGCCCCTGCCACCTGCTCCGGCTCCTGAACTGTCACAAAGGCTGCCCCAGACGCATTCCAGAACCTGTCCTCAGGACTCACCGCCTGCAGAGAGAAGCCACTCAGCCCCACAGGGGTGAAGAGATGGCCAGGAGCCGAGGAGAGTGGGCCCCAAAACACATGCTGCAACCTTAGCGAAGGGTTACAGTCAGACGGGCCGGGCCCACATCCAGCTCCTCCAGTCCCCACCATGTGGCAGTGTGTGGGCCTCGTTTTGCTCATCTGTAAAATGGGGATACTCAGAAGTGGCTCCAGTGAGACTGAAGCTTATGTAACTTAGCTGACCCTCTTTGAGAAAAAGAATACAAAAATACCGTATTTTCACAAACTTGGCAAACACACATGACCAGGTCAGCGCATTGCTAACCCACTAAGGTCCCTTCGAGGGGGCAAAGAGAGCCCCGAGGCGTGAGTCCTGCTGGTTCCCTCGGAAATCCGCCTCAGGGCATCCCCGCAGCAGGAGGGGAGACGGCGGAGCAGACGTGGTTCTGGGCCCTGGGCCCAAACCTGGGCCCTGCCGCTCACCTCTCCTCCCAACTTGGGCAAGTTACCGACTCCTCTGGGCCTGCTTCCTCAGTCGCAAAACGGGGGGAATCTGGGCTCCGCGCCCGGGGAGTGGGCGCGCTGAGGACTGACGGTGGCTTCTTGGGATGTTGTTGGGAAATGATGTGCAGGGAGCTGAGCAGGGAGGGCGAGCTCAGTGATGCAGCCGCCCTGCCCCTGTCTCCACCACGGGCGACGTGTCTGCAGGGGCCCAGCGGCAGGGCGTCCGGGCACCGCTTTCCGTCAGGGATCCGAGGAAGACACGCGGGAACAGGGGGTATGGGGGGCCAGGGCAGGGGAGGCAGCAAAACGGACTAGAGACCAAAGTCTGCAATGGGCCAGAGCTCAGAGCCATGTCCAAACCCAGCCGGGCTAACTGGGTGGCCTCCCCCACCCTCCCCACTCACCCACCCAGGCCAAGCAAGGCCGACACCTGGTTAGACTGACACTTAGGGGACA